TGGCAATCAATTTTAGCAAAGAATATAGATTATATTTTTGGAAAATTACTGAAATATTTTTATATATTTATTTGGGTTCTATTTGGGTTCTATTCTTTTAACTAATCTTTTCATCTTTTAAAAAGTTATTTCTACAGTGGACTGAGCACCAGCCTGTGAACCAAAGTGTTGCTGGTTCTATTCCCAGTGTGGGGCACATGCCTGGGTTGCAGGCCAGGTCCCCAGCAGGGGGCATGAGATGCAACCACACATTGATGTTTCTCTCCCTGCCTTCCCCTCTCTAAAATAAATAAATGAAGTTTAAAAAAAGGTTAAAAAAAAAGAAAATTTTATCTATATGAGATGATTGGTATGTTAACTAACATTATTATTTTGGTAATAATTTTGTGATATACATATATGAAATCATTATGTTGTACACCTTAAACTTATGCAATGTTATATATTAATTATATCTCAATAAAGCTGGAAAAAATTAAAAGTTCTATTAATATTAATAAGTCCATTACTTAGCAAAATAAAATTAGATATTCTTAATAGAGTCTTCATATACAAAAAATAAAAAGTTAATTCTAACATACTTGTGTCCTGAGATTGATCAGCCAAGAGTGTATTTTGTTTAAAAAAATTTTTTTAAAGCTAAGATGATGATTTATACATTGAAATTATTGATAAGCTAACATGATGAGAAAATTATAAAAAATGGATGCTATTTAATATATTTCCCTTTACATGAATTATTGAATAACATTAATTTTTCAATTCATATAAAATTAGATATTTAGTTTTTCTCAATGTTTCAAATTTCTTTTCTCTTTTTTCTTTTTAAAAAATTCTACCAGTTTCCATAAAATAAAAATAAAATGAATTGTATGTAATAAGCTACATTTGCTAATATAGTTTTTAATCTTGCCTTTGAACAATATGGTTTTCTTGGAAAGGTTTTTTTACTGTATTTTTATTTAGTTATAGTATAAATACAGTAAATTTTATCCTTTTTACCATACAGTTCTACCTATTTTGACAATGTTTAAAAATGTGTAAACACAACCACAATCAAGAGACAGAACAATTCCATCATACTAAAAAATTTTTCCATACTTGTTTGTAGTCAAACCTCCCCCTGTTTCTGAGTCCCCAGCAACAACTGATCTGTTTTCTCTGCCTATAGTTTTGTCCTTGCAAAAATACTGTATAAATGGAGTCATACAGTTTATAGCCTTTTGAACCTACCTTCTTTCATTTAGGATATTATATTAGAGAATCACCCAAGTTGTTATGTGTACCCTAGATCATTTCTTTTTATTTCTGGGTAGTCTGTCACTATATTGATGTGTTACAGATTGTCAGTCCATTTCTCATTTGAGAGATATTGAAGTTGTTTGAAGATTTTGGTGATTACTAATAAGCTTGTATAAAGATTCATGTTCAAGTTTGTAAGTGAACATAGCTTTCATCTCGGTAAATACCTGGGAGTAAGATGGATGGATCGTATAGTATCCTCAATTTTATAGGAAACTACCAAGCTGTTTTCCAAAGTATCTCCATCATTTTGCATTCCCACCAGCCATGCACGAGAGTTTCACATCTGCATTGCTTCGCATCTTTGACAGCCCATGGTATTCTCTCTCTCTCTGTCTCTCTCTCTGTCTCTTAAAATAAGGTGTCAAATCAGTATGTAGTTGTATCTTACTGTGGTTTGTTGTTCTCTTTTTTTAATTTTATTTTTTCTACTACCATTTGTCCTCCTTATACCTCCCCCACAATCACCACACTGTTGTCTATGTCCATGAGTCCTTTATCCTTTTTGCTTGCTCCCTCCATCTCCTTACCCCTGTCCTCCATAGCTGTCATTGTGCTCTCTATCTATGAGTCTGTCTCAATTTTGCTTATTAATTCAGTTTGTTCATTAGATTCCACATATGAGTGAAATCATATGGCGTTTGCTTTTCTCTGGCTGGCTTATTTCACTTAGCATAATGTTCTCCAGGTCTATCCATACTGTTACAAAGGGTAACATTTTCTTCTTTTTTATGGCCAAGTAGTGTGCATTATATAAATGTCCCATAGTTGTTTTATCCACTCATCTACTGATAGACACCTGGGCTAATTCCTTATCTTGATGCCTGTAAACAACACGGCAATGAACATAGGGGTGCTTATGTCCTTTTGACTTAGTGTTTTAGGTTTCTTCAGATACATTCCCAGAAGTGGGATTGCCAGGTAAATAGGAAGATCCATTTTTAATTTTTTAAGGTTTTAATTTTCATTTCCTTCATGACTAATGATAAGGAGCATCCTTGTGCTTATTTTCCATTCATATATTTTCTTTGGTAAAGTATATATTTAAATCTTTTGCCCATTTTTTAAATGCATTGTTTTTTTCCATATTATTGGGCTTCAAGGTTTTTTATAATTCTAAATACAAGTCCTTTATGAGATATGTGATTTGCATATGTTTTCTCCTTGTCAGTGACTTTCAAAGAATAAATAGTCTTAATTTAAATGAAATGCAATTTACTTGTTCTTTCATTCGCCATGCTTTTGGTTTTGTGTATGAGAAGTCATTGCCTAAATGAGGGTTACAAAATTTTCTACTGTTTTTAAAAAATGCTTTGGAATTCTATGTTTTCCATTTATATTTTGGATCCATTTAAGCAATTATTGCATAGTGTGAGGTGTATATAAAGATTTTAGGGGTTTTTTGTTGTTGTTGTTTTGCATATGGGTATATATATTTAGTTGTTCTAGGACTATTTATAGTTGGAAGGACAGTCCTTTCAGTTCCCTTTTTACCTTTCTCAGAAGCCAGTTGGCCGTGTATGTCTAAGATGATCTCTGAATTCTATATTCTGTTACATTTGTTTCTATATTTACTTTTTCTCCCATACCACTCTCTTAATTACTGTAGCTTTACAGTAAATGTGAAAATCAAGTATGTAAATCCTATAACTTTAAAGAGAATGTGTGTTCTGTTTTTAGGTGGAGTTTTCTCAAATTATCAATTAGGTAAATTTAATAGAAAGTGCTGGTCATGTCTTCTATATTTTTAGTGAAAATGTTTCCATTTTTTTTTAAGTCAAGTGTTAACAGGGTGTCCTGAATTCTCCAACTATATTTGTGAATTTGTCTATTACTCCTTTCAATTCCATCAGTTTTTGCTTCATATATTTTGAAGTGCTATTGTTAGATGCATACACAATTATACTTGTTATGTCATTTTGGGGAACTGACCCTTCCATAATTAAGAAATGTCTCACTTTATCCTTGTTCTGAAGTCTAGGTAACCTAATATTAATATAGCTATTTCTGCTTTTGTTTGATTAGTATTTGCATAGTACCTCTTTCCCATCATTTCATTGTTAACCTATTTATGCCTTTATATTTAAAATGTATTTCAGTACATAGTTTTGTTCTTGATTTTTCAATCCAATCTAACCATCTTTATTTTTAATTGATGTGTTTATAGAGTTTACATTTAATGTACTTGTTAATCTGATTGGATTAATATCCACCATATATTTTAGCTCTTTTATTTTTTAATCTTTTAATTTGTTTTCCCTACATTGCATTTCATTTTTGATTTTCTATTTTAGCTCCATTAGTGATATTATTAATTTTTAAAAAAAAATAACTTGATTGCTCTAGATTAAAGAATATACTTCTTTAATCAATCCTCTTAAATAATATCATACTACTTAACACATAATATTAGGGCTTATTATTGTTTTCCCGATTTCCCCCCATTCTTTATGCTACAGTTGTCATATATTTTACTATTACATATTCTATAAACACAATGCATTGTTAATATTTTGGCTTTAGATAGTTGTCTTTTAGACCAATTAAAAATCAATAAAGATGAATTACATATTTACCTCCACTTAGTCCATTTCTAGAATACCTTATTTCTTTATGTATATGTTATATCTTACCAAAGTTTTTAAAAATATGTTGAAATTTTAAAATCTATTAGTATTTACAACATCAGTTGCTGACTCCTCCTGGCTATGTTGTATGTAGGCATCTGGGAATATGTTTGACTTCTATTATTTTTTTGTGCTTAAAATTTCAAAAACATGGGACTGAATATATCATAAGAAGTCCTTTGGGTTAATCTTCTAAGTTTCAGATTTACTTCAACTGGCCTTATTTTAAGATTTACCTGAAGTTCTCCTTCTGAAGTTGAGACTTACACAATGGTGGCTTGTGAGCCTCCTTTTGTCTGTCTGGTCCTCGTGCCCCCAGGGGTGGAGAGGGAGCATCAGGACAATGCTGTCCCACTTTTTAATATTCTCCTTTTAATAACTTTGCATATACATGAGGCTTGGTATTCAGTCCCTTTTTACCATCTTCTTTACAGGTAAAAACCAATCTGTACTTCTTCAAGATTTTTATAAAGAGATAGATCTACGTTTTCCCTATGTATCTTTAACCATTTTTATAGTGCTTTCTCCTGAACATTTTACATAATTCTTTTTGTTAGGGCATGTGAAAATAAGTGGTAGCAGGATTCGCCAAGGGGAAGGAGACAGAACCTCTGTGGGGCTAACATTGGCTCTGGGAGGGTGCCAGGCCACCAATGGCGTCAATTCTCAAGGGTCCCGGCTCCCTTGCTGAGTAGTGGACTGCCTTGATCCTTAGAGCTGAGTGCTGAACTTACACCCTCCCACTGAAGCCATTGTGCCTTATTTTACTCTAGACACATACTTTTAGGAAAACTCAGGGGTTCTGAAATTGAATGGCTGGGCTCCCCAGGCTATGCTCGCCTGAGGGCCTGGTTCATTCCAGAGCCACTGACTGTACCAGCTGTAAGTATGTTGTCACTTGCACAGGAATGGGGCAAAGGAAGGGCATACTGAGAAGCCTGGAATTTTTCTGAGGAAACTATATTCACTTGTCAGTTATTTGGGTAACTGAAAGAGCTACTTTTTTTAAGGTCTCCCCTTTATTTTATGCCCAGAACATAACATTTTCTTTTTGTCTTTTTCCCCCTCAAGGGGTGCTACATCCATTGTGTACAGATGCAAACAGAAGGGGACTCAGAAGCCTTATGCTCTCAAAGTCTTAAAGAAAACAGTAAGTTTTTTCATTATTTATAATAGCATCTCTAAGGGATCTGTTACCTGGAGAGGCCAGAAGCCCTGAATAAAAGGACAAAGGGGCCAGAGAGCCGCTCTGTGAATGAACTCATTTGAATTTTGATTTTGAGAGTGCAACCAAATGAGTGTTTGTTGGCTGGTGAAAACTGCATGACTGCAAGTAACTGGGTCACAGATTGGATGTGGTTGTGGGTAGAGGCATGGAAAGAAAAAACCTTTAGAGCTGGCAGGTGAACCCTGCTTTGTATATTAGTCATGATTTTAGATGCACACATATGCCTAGAGTTTCAAATGTTGGGTTTGCTCCAGTCAAGTACAACTGGACAAATGCTGATGTTTCTGGAACCCAACTGGCTCATCTAAGAAGTTTGTATTTGAACAATAAGGGAAAATTTTGTTTTGGGGTGGCTCCTTTTTGCTCTATACTGCTAGGAGAGCTGAGCAGGTACACGTTACTTTGGCTCAGCTCCAATGAGTAAGAAATGCAGCAGGTGAAAGTGCAAAATACACACGCCAGCAGGATGTGATACTTTCTGTGCCCCACAGGGCATTTGCCATTTTAATACTGTGTCTGAACTTTCTGTCCTTAGGTGGTTTCTCCTTATAAAACCACAAAAAGACAAAGTATTTTTTTTACTGCACTTTTTCCTTTCTCAAATTTTATGTGAACAAATATGTGAAACATATATATACTTCTGGAAATCCAGTTATAAAATATGCTGAGAAGTATCATAAATTTTGAAGTCAAGTAATACCTCCTTTAGGTCAAGATTTTTTTACTTCTAAAGACAACTAATATCACCAGCTGTTTATGCATTGTCTGACACAGGGAAATTTTAGAATCTCCTTTACTGAAGAGGAGAATAATGGCACAGGGTATTCAATCACGTAGAAGTAGAATGACATTGGGAAACAATGTTAGAATTTAAAGCCATAGCAAAGTAAAAATGACAGTTTAATTGAAATAGGTAATAATTTAAATGGCAATTGCTGCTAATCAACTCTATAATCTGGATCTCCTGTTTGGTGTAGGCAATGATTTAAGTTGATAATGTAATATTTTGATTAGTAAGATCTGGAATTTTCTCTTAAAGCAATTTCTTATACTCATAAGATTTATTGGAAATAGGATTTTTGAAAATTTTATGAAATAGAATTTTCTGTTCAATGCAAGATCTGGCACAAATAACTCTCCTTTTTGTTACAAAATCTTTTATTACAAAAGCATAAGCATATGATTCTGTAACATAACAATATCACATTCAAGCACACCACATGAAATTTTAGCTGAAATATTCAAATTAAAAATATAAATTATTACACCCATATTACTACCATACCTATCACACTTGAGTAGGCATTAACTTCTGCCAGATCCTGTATCTAGTTCTTATGGAACTAAATTGGCATGCTTTAGCAGGAATAACACATGAGACATTTTTAGCCTTGGTTGTATCCTTTCCTGTTGGTTAAAAAAAATTGTCAGTAAAATTTGTGAATGGTTATTTTTCTTTTCATATTTGAGGAAAATAGAAAAAGGACTAGATATATGAATGTACAGAAAAATAAACACTCAAAATTGACTTTTGGATGCTCAGAGTCCTGAAAGACAAAGGGCTGTCTTAGGAAGCACTGTTTAAAGTCAAAAATCTTTGTATGAATGGAGTAAGAGATAGGTAAAGACATTTGGTGGGTTCGTGACTCACACTCGTTGAGAAAAAAAGCTCTGGTTTGCCCTCACTGTATTCTCTTCTCCACCTCTGTTGTGGAAACATCTGCCTGAGGAGCCAGACGGGAAGAGAATGTGGATGGAAACCAAGAGTCAGAAGGAGCTGCAGAGCAGTTCTATAAGGCAGATGTCAAATGCAGTTACTACTGTGCCAAATGGAATAGGAGAAAATCCCCTGGAGGAAGCTCAGCTTTGAACAAGAATTACTTAGAATCCCCAGCATTGTCTCCTAGAATAAACCATGCAAAGAGGTCTATAAATGAGAAAAGTAGCAGGCAAAACCTCAAAGAGCAACTGCCCCAGTGTTTAATTCCATGTAGGTCATGGAAACTTCCTTATCTAAGTGAAGTGAATGAAGCTGAAGATTCTATTTATAGAAGGAAAGTGATGCTGGGAAAACAAAGTACCTTCTCAAAAAATTCAGCCAAGGATCTGCTCCTGAGGTGAAAAGGGCATTTCAGAAAACTTGATTTGTGTAATTGTTATATTGAGCCACATAAAGTTACCTTTATTAAATCATTTTTTCCTTCAAAAATGGCAATTTTTGTGGCTCAATGTAACAGATACATATTGTTCAATTTCAAAACTTTGGGATCACTATACTACTTCATAGGATCATTAGGTCCTCATTTTATCTCTATACCTAAACCTCGGTCTGAAGGATGGTCTGTATCTAACCATCTATCTATCTATCTGTCTTTCTATCTATCTATCTATCTATCATCTATCTATCTATCTGAGTTTCCTCGAGATGCCATAATAAACTACCACAAATTGGCTTAAAACAACAGAAATTTATTCTTCTATATAGTTCTGAAGGCTAGAAATCTGAAATCAAGGTGTCAGCATGGGTGATTTCTTGCAAGGGTTCTGTGGGAGAATCTGTTCCATGCTGCTCTCCTTGCTTCTGGTGACAGCCAGCAATTGCCTGGTATTCTTTGCTGTAGATGGATCACTCCACTCACTGCATCCCTTGTCACATGGCCATCTTCTCCCCGCACATCTACATGTCATCTTTCCTCTGTGCATGTCTGTGTCCAAATTTATTTCTTCTTATAAGGATGCCAGTCCTATTAGATTAAGGGCCTAACCTACTCCCAGTCTCCCAGTATGACCTCATCTTAAATTGACTACCTAGGTATACAACAACCCAATTTCAAAATAAGGTCACATTCTTAAGGTCTGAGGATTAGGACTTCAATACATGTTTTTTGGGGAGTTGCAAATTCCACCCATAATACTATCTATAACGATTCCAGTAAAGGTTTCTTATCTCTTTTACAGTTAATTATTTGATAACAGTAGTCCTCTTTCCCAGGATTTATTTACTTTTTCAGTATAGTTAACCCAAATTTTATTTTATGGTAGTGTTAAGCACTCTTCTCATAGTTTAATATTTTAGAAAGGATTCAGTTTACACTGGCAGTAAGAGAGACTTCTTTCCCCATAAATCACCCTGATCATCATTGGGAATCCATTAGGAACTGCTATGTCTGAGTGATAGACAAATACTCTATTTGTCCATAGGGAGACAGACTAAAGCACCAGTACTAATGGTGAAATCCATATTCCATTGTTGGTCAGGTACAGAACAGAGTTAATACTAATAATGAACATGAATTGTCATGTTCAGACCATTGGGTATTTTAGCTAATAAAATATCCCAGTGAGAAATTTAACATGTAATTGTAATGCAAATATTTTATTACCATGTATTTTATAAATGGATATAATACCATATACTTTACTTTTTAACGATTTTATTTATTTATTTTTAGAAAGGGAAGGAAAGGGGGAGAAAGAGAGGGAGAGAAAAATCGATGTGAGAAAACACTGATCAGCTGCCTCTCATATGCGCCCCGACCAGGGACTGAACCTGCAACCCAGGCTAGTTTCCTGACCAGGAATTAAACCGGTGAACTTTTGCCTTGTGGGACAATGCCCAACCAACTGCGCTACCACAGTCAGGGCAATACCATATTCTTTAGATAGAAGACTATAATTCAGAGAATTAGAATACATTAAAAACATCAGTCAAAAAAGAGAGAGAGAAACTGTGTGTGTATGTATGCAACAAAGAGACAGAGGCAGAGAGAGCATATGGGGAGAGAGAGAGAACAAAAATCAACAATTAATTGAATTTAGGACTGTATACTGATGTCAATGATGGTATTTTAACATTTAAGTATATATGGAAATTCTCATAACAGAAGGTTTGGGGAAAGACATAGCTTCAGCTTTGAGATTCTGTTCATTATAACTTAACATTACTTTTGGCTACTTAGAAAGAATTTCGAGATCTTGCAGTTTCTAAATGCTACGATAAGTATTGGTGATTCTCTATTATAGGTATATTTTTGTGCCAGAAAATTGAAAATGACAGTCAAACCAACTTTTTACTATACTGAAAAAAACCTGGATGTTTACAGAAACAATATCCATTTGTCTCACTGCATCATTAATGAGGATAAGGTGTTAAGGGTAGTACGAATAAACAAGAGAGAAATTAAATCAAAGGGCTATTTTAGTTTGTATTCATAACTTTCTTCTACTTCGTATTAATAATTCTTTTTCTGCTTTATTTTTTATTGTTTTTTCTATTACAGTTGTCCTGTTTTCCTCTTTTGCTCCCCTCCACCAGCCCAACCCTCTCTCCCACAGTCAGTTCCCTTTCCATTGTCCATGATTCGTTCATACATGTCCTTTGACTAATGTCTTCCCCTTCCTCCCACTATTTCCACCCATCCCCCTCCCCTCCTATAGTTCTCCCCCTGTTGCACATATTAGTGATTCTTGTACTGAAGAAGTCAAATCACTAAGAGTTTCCTCCATATCTTCTCGTCGTGGGAAAAGGTGGCCTATTTTGTGCATTTTATTTTGAAACAGTTAGGCAGTGCCATTTACCCCTAAATACCTTATTAGTTTGCACGTAAGAACTAATTGGCTTGCAGGCATAGTGGAACTTTGACTATGAACTTTGAAAAACAGGAAGGCTATTTTTTTTTCCTTTATGTATGAGCCCTTTGTCATCTCCATTTGATGTGAAATTTAGAAGTTGAATTAGAGAAAAAAGATTTACCAAGCTTCTTCCACATGTTAATAACTTTGGCCCATTAAAGAATTCTGACAACAGCTAGTAGGATAACCAGTGATTTACAAGATGAAACCTTTTTACTGATGTTACATGACTTTGAATATGCTGATCTTAAAACTTCACAAAAGGAAAAGAAAGTGTCAAAATGTGAACA